TTACACTATTTATTATATCCTCCAGTAAGGCTGAATCCGTTCCTGGTAAAGGTATTTTTGGTACAACTTTGCACATCCTATATCTAACTGCGTCCATGAGGATGTAATAATTGTTAATCATGTGTGTCTGGTGTGAACAATAATCATTTTCACATCATGAACAGTTTCTCAGAATCACCTCTAAGTGTCTCCAATGGAACCAGAACCACAGAAACGTGCGTACACCAGCCCTGGAGTTGGYGTGGGGCTGCRCACATTTCCACGTTCAKTTSAGTTTTGATACATCYGGAGTTTTGCGTGGAAAATGACAYGAGTTAGTATCTCCTTTCAGGTTTTCCTCTGTTTTATTGTCCTTTGAAAGGGTGGCCAGTGAAAGGCAGTGTTTGCTATTAAATGAAATGGAGAAGCAACCTGTAAAGCTTTTGTTTGTTGCTGTTTGAACTCTGCTTTGTAAGGAAAGTAGTTATGACCTCCTCCTCCTCCTCCTCTCAGGTGGACCTAAAGTCTGTGTCATCAGTGTCCCGGTGGAAGAACTCCTACAACATCAAGATGGTGTTGCAGGAGCTCAGACAGCACATGATGATGAAGGAGAACAGCAGGCTCTCCCAGCCGCCTGAAGGCCAGGTGTACAGCAACTGAGGCTGCTGGTGCTGCTGTCAACCCCGTCTCCCTCACACACACACACACACGCACGCACACACACACACACACACACACCCTAAACGCTCATACTTATCCATCATTTTATCAGAGATTGTTAACACCCATTTCTTCCTTCGGGAGCCTTCCTTTAAACGACAGAGATCTGCAGGAGAAGCCAACTTCCTGACCCAGACCTCCATCTGAGTTCACGCTGCAGACCAGCTCTTACAAAACAACAAAACCTATTCATGCTTTTGTTTTCTCCAGATTGTTAAACAAAATAAATAACCTGGTGGAATGTACAAGTTGTTTTGGGGATCCTCCAAGGCTTTTTAATGTTTAGGACATTCTGCACATGACAACCTTCAACATATTCCAGTACGCTAACAAAAACTGTTTCCCTTGGTCTTTGAGACTGCATTAGTTGAAATTTCCAAAGCTTCCACATTTCCTGCTGACGTATACTTGAGGGGACCTTCTTTAAGCTAATGCATGTCCAATCAGAAGAAAGAAACTTGTATTTCTGAGCAGGACGCTGTTGCCTCGTTTTTTTTCTCAGACTTGTGTGCCATATGGTTCTTAGTGCTGTGTGATGATTATTTGTGTGCAGACGAGGGGGTGGGGTTGGGGCTCACTGACACTTTTTGTTTTGCTAAGAACATTATTTTTGTGTTCAGCACCTTTTTCAGGAWTGTGGTCTGTGTGGAGCAGGAGGAGCTGTGATTTTCATTATTTTCCTTTAGTCACTGGGCTGACCTGTGTGTTTTATGGCGTATCTTCTGTCATTCAGTGAATCTCACTGAACTTCATGTACGACTTTGGATGTTTATTTTCTAAAGGGGTAGAGTTGAATCSGGGTGATGGTAACCTGTTGCATGATTTTATTTGAATTAAACATGATTTCTTTTGCATATGAATGTTTCATGGTTGTCTAAACTCCACAACTTTTAGTTTAATAGTTGAGTGCAAAAGTCAAGTGATGACTTTGTTTTATTCTTCTGAATATCTCTCCTGAACAACTTAAAGTCCAATAATCTCTTCACCRCAGTCAGAGCAAAAATGTCTGACTCCAAATAATTTCTACATATCTGCATTACATTTAGTCTTTTCCTAAAGAAAACGTGGGGGTTTCTTTTATCAGCTGATTTGGTAAATTTACCCACAAAAGAAATAAATACTCAGTTTTTGTGGTAATATAATTTGAACAGAGATGGAGTAGCAACTGAAAATGTGAAATTAAAAAAAAATTAAAATAAGTTTTATAGTTAGAAAGTGAGTGAAATAATTTGATCCCTGACTACTGAACCTAACCTTACMTAATTTCCCTCTGGGGTCAATAAAGTATTTTTGAATTGAACCTGAATTCTGCCTCCMACAGGTTGGTAATTTGCCCTCAGGGCACAGATTATAATCTGTTGATACAGACACTCCAGATCTCAGCATGTTACATACAGCGGGTAAAATAAGTATTGAACACGTCACCATTTTTCTCAGTAAATATATTACTAGAGGTGCTAATG